GAGCCTCTACCCCCCCCTCCCCCGCCTGGAGGAGAGGCCTGTCAAGCCGCCCAGGTACGTGGCTGTGAGCGACCACCTGCTGGCGCAGGGGCTAGCTCTGGCAAGCACTACACCTTATGAGTAGCAGACAGGTATTTAAAATAAAAAAAAATCTAATTATGGCATAGTTGCTGCTCCTACTAATGAGTGACACTAACATTTGAGGTTTAACAGCCTGCTCCTGAAGGACGATGATTGTTTGCTGTCTTTGATGCCAACCTGTTCATGGGCACAGAACTTACAAAGCAGTGTTTTCCCACACAGAGGAATGACGTGGCAGCTGGAAAGCTCTTTCTTTGGGATTTTTCAGAAGTGTCACACATCCATTCCTTTTCAGTATCAAGTATGTCTTGTGACATTGCCTTTTCTTCCTTTACCAAATACTGACTAGATTAAAATCCTGAAGACCTCCATGACCGTGTTTTCTTCCTCCTGGCCCTTGCTAGCGCTGTATTTTTGGTGTACAACAGCATTTTACACTTGCTTGACCATGTATCAACAGACACCAAAAAGATACAGCTGCCACATCTATTTGTCCAAAGAGGAATGCCTGCAGCTGTCTACAAAAGATGGCTACACCTTTAAAAGACATCTTTAAACCTTATACCCTTACATAGTAAACTCTCTAACTCAGTACCTTCTCATTCACTTTCCCATTTTGAGACCATGTGAACCCTAGTATATTTAACTCCACAAAATAAGTAAAAGTCAACATAAAGTTGCTGCTTTTCTCTATGGCCACAGTGCCTATGGCTGCAAAATGGTGAGGAACCTAATAATTTTTGAATATACTGGTTTTGTGTCTAATTCGGCAGCAGTTTGCCATGAAAATAACAGAAAAGAAAATGAAGGCTTGTGTTTCTTGTAATTAGAGGTGTTTCTGGAATTATATGTAATCTTATATACATAATCCTCTTTCTCATTTTTGAGACCAAATCTCAAGAAGAGAAAAAGTTCCACATTTTAACTGAAGTCCTTTCATGTTTGCTAATGTTGTGATGGAGTATAACTACATCTATCTGGCATTTGTAGCTCATATACAAATGTTTATGTCAGTGTTGCTACTGTGATTCCCATTCACTGGTCCAGCATTTCCTACTTTCTTTTCTCCTATTTTGGTAAAACAGGCTGCATTATATTTAATCTTTTTGTCCTTTTTTTTTGTTTTCCTTACCTGAAAATGTGTTATAGCTCTTTAGGAAACACTCTAAGGTTTTTCTATGTGAGAAGAGTTCAGCCATTCTTCAGCCTTTGTCTGTCACAACTGAATATGACATTATTCCTAAAGATGGGCAGATTTTAGAAGGTACGTGGCAAGGTAGCCTTAGCTTCAGGAACAAGGAGTTCGGACACCTTCAGCAAAGCATCTATGAGAGGACAGTCCTCAGTTAAATGCAAGATACTACTAATCAGCTAATAATCAGCATTTGGCTTCTTTTGGAGAAAATGTCTCCATACTTTTGATTAAAGCAGGAGTTACAGCACTGTATGCACCATTATTCCAAACAGCAGTGAGTGCGTAGAGCTTTCCATGTCTGAGTTCTTACTGATTTCCGTATTAGCCACAAGTTAGTGGCAAAGCCACCACTGATTTCAATAGTTCAGGGTCATAGTTCAGATCTGTGTCGCATAAGACATATACAGAATTTGCTGTTCTATTTCAGAGCAAATCATTCATCTAATCTAATCTCTTATATTAGCCTGTAACAGATGGTTCAAGAGCAGGATTGAGACAATGATACAGTGGACAGTAATGAGGTAACCTGATGATCAAAGACGTTCTGTCCAACTCTCCACATCATATGTTTTAATGTGTTCTGAAGCATGAGGTTTTATACGCCTTTAAAATGTATTTCACCTCATAGAATGAAGCTATGAATGTTCTTGTTATCAATATAGAACTCATTTTTTGGAAGCCGACTGAGTTTTTTCCTTTGGTATGTCTGCTTAAAATGTTATGTAAGATCCCACAACATGCTTCACCTTCTGCAGCATGTGTGAGATACAGTAGCGCTTGCACCTTTTGCAGGCTACAAGTTTTCAAATGTAGACAATCAAATGAAGTTGTCTCATGATTGATATTTTCCTGTAGATACACAACAGCAGTGTATTTTGGGCACGTTTTTGAACAAAGTATATAGCCCTATATGAAAATATATATTCAAAATATAAATTAAACATAATTAAAAAAATAAAGTGACCGAAGTGCGTAATGCATAACTTCATGAAAATAATAAATTTATGTTTCTTCCAGAGTTTCAATAAGCAATACTCAAAACCATTTTGTTCCAGAATGTAGGGGTTTTCAAGCCTCAAAGGGCTTGTGTTCAGTATTTTCAGTGCATGCAAGAACCATTTCTCCAAGTGTGATAATAGTGACCCGGAAGGCACAAAAGAGGAAGGAAGAAGCAAGTTATCTCTGGAACCAGAAGTATGCCTTTTCAGTGCAGTGCTGGGCCTAACCTTAGTAGGGAAGGTGTATGAATGATAGATTTTATTTGAGAGGGAACAGAACAACATAGCTTGGGCTTTTGGATTGAACAACTGCAAAAATGTGTATTCTTTGAACAAGTATTTTTTAATAATTTTCTGATCTTTAACTTCTTTATGGCTATTTTTTAACATCAAAGGTATGTATCAACATTTAGACCGTCTGTCAAGTGTGAGACAGAGAAAAGTAAAGCTCAGTGGAAAACAATGGGACCAGCAAAAGTTGAAGTGCCCTCTCCAAAAAACTTTCTGCAGAAACATTCAAAGGAACCCAAGCTACCAGAGAGTAAGTGTTGACAGGAAATCTATGAAATGCAATAAGTTTTTGTTGTTTTAGAAATGCTAATATTGAAAACAATTTTGTTAATTATTGAGATTCTGATTTTTTTATATTTCAAATCATTTTTGCCTACTAGGATGATTTCCATTGTTCTTTTTTAGTATCTGTGATTTTGAAATTATTTCTTTATTTTGCAAAAATATTTCTGTGTAAAATACTGAAACAAGCAAGAGGGAGATTATGAATGTGACTGCAAAATATTGTGACTAGAAAATATTGGAAGCATTTACTGTCATGTGATACAAAGCCAGCTGAAATGTATAGAAAAATCATTAAATCTCTTTTGGATGCAGCTATTTAGATATTTAAGATGTGTCAATGATTTGTTCTACCCTGCTAATATTTAAATGCAGAATTATTTAATTTAGATTTGTATGTCAGTCTTTCCTGATCATTAATATTAAGGTAAATAATATAAGCTAGGGTGTTAAAAGTGAGCTAATTGTTTGTAAAGGTTGAACAGACATGGGGAAAGTATGTGCATCTTTCTTAATGTTATCACCAACATACAGCTTTTACTCTTTAGCATTCATTGTTGGACCTTAATCCTGTAGCATTAAATTGGCTGGCAGTGTTCAAAGCTTAGAAGTTTCTGGAGAGCTGCATGCCACAGAAATAAAAAAAAAAAACTGAATATTTCACTTTAAAATGCCTATTTTCCACCATCCTATCTTTGAACATAACTTGTAATTCTGGGGAGAAGGAGCTGGCAGATTTAATGTTCAGCCTCAAGGCCAATTCTGTAAGACTGGTCATATTCCAGAACAGACTAGCTTAATGCCGCTGGAGTGGTAAGTAGATCGCTGTCCGAATTTGTGATGGTGTTAGAAGGCTTTAGCCTGAAACTGTTTTTAGACTAGAAAAACAGATAATTTTAGATTACGGTATAACAGAAATACACTGTGTAATAGAGTGTGGGAGTCCAGCACCCAATCCTCCTGTCAGATGCAAACAACTTTGGCATTGAAAATATGGGCTATCCCATTAGGCTCTGGAGGTTTGATGCCTCAGGCAATATGGATTATCAGAACTTTGAAGAAAGCTTAGGTTCCTGAGGTCTGTAGGAATCTTGGCTGGTTTTTGAATAAATGCTTAACTTTTGCAGAAAAGCTAAACAGTATCCAGTATACCAGAATGTAATACTTCATGACATCTGAGTGCTTTAGATGGCTCTAGCAAAGAAGGTTTGATTCACCAGTAACTTTGAGCAGTTCATAAGATCCCTTTTGATATACTTTGAGCAGTTCATAAGATCCCTTTTGATATACTTTTATCATAAAATTAGTGTTACCTACTTTAAAATGGCCATATTTTGAGATTCAGTGCCCTCGCATTTTTCTCAAACAAGTAGCTCACAATATTCTTATTTCAACTTATTGATTCAGGGCTTCATACTAATATGTGTTTTGGTATTTACATTAGGAGACATTGTGCTAGAGCTTCAAAATGACCATGACACAGCATAACTTCCATACAGACTTGTTATTTCAGTGCCATGATTATATTCTAACATCTCTTCAACAGGAGTTATATCATTAGCTCAGAAAGTTCTTACACATTTGATGGATGGAGTTTCATACGTACCTCAGAAAAATTACGCTTCTTAATCACCTTTTAAAGCACATGATCTATCTTTCTAAAGCATGCAAACATACTTTCATAACTTGGAATGCAACCAGTTACCAATTGTCTATATTGGATTACAGCATTTTGTTGATGATATCTCTACTGCCTTTAAAACTAGGTTGGATCCATGTAGTTAAAAAGTAGGTTGCAGGGACAGAACAGAAACAAAGATTGATTTTTTTTTTTTTCACTGAAATCTAGGACAGTGTCTTCCTTGTGGAGCATGATCACTCACCACTTCCTTAGAGGAGGTGCGCTTCCTAACATTCGGCTGAATCTTGTTGTGTGAATGCCCTCCTGCATTCGTTCTAGCTAAAATCAGTTGCTGGCTCCAGAAGAAGTGGCAGTTCCCAAAACAGCAAGCGCGCATCAGTGTCCTGCACATAAGGATGAGCCAGTGAGAAGAGATCTTCTTTCCAAAAAGAGATCCTGACAGAAATAGGGATTTAAGTCCCTGTATTCTACAGTGCTAAATTATGGAAACCTAGTAGGCTGTAAAAACAAAAACCAGGGAAGCATTGGTTCGTGTCTTCAGTATCAGGAAATCATCCATTGTAGGAACGAGCTCTGTCATGTGTGACATTCCAGACTTATTTTCTGCCAAAGAAAAAGAACATGAATTTAGACAACCTGAATCAAACTACTGTAGCTTCTTCTGAGTTCTCTCTGATAATGACAGTTAGAGTTATATCTGGTAGGAAATATGTGGGAAATGGATTGTTTTTCATCCCTCACCTGAACAGGAGGCTACTGACTTTCAGTTGACACCTTGGAGAAAAGCTTACACAAAAGAGGAAGGGTCTCTTTTTTCACTGGAGAAAGGATTGTGAATAATTGTTTATGAGCATCTTTGGTAAAAGTAGTTTTAATCACATTTGAAAGGAATCCCACACAACTGGGCTTAAGAAGTAATGAGTGGCGTATTATATGGAAAACCTATCTAAAACAACACAGTGTTTCCTAGGTTAACTTCCATTATGCCCAGCAAGCATAGTAGTTTTCATCATAGTACATCTCCAGTCAATTTTTCATGTTTTAGATACATTTGATTTCTATTTTTATGTAGCTTAGTACATAACTTCTCTCTCTTGAGAAACGTAATAATAGTGAACTGTAAAGTTCTTTATGGTTATTGCTGAGGGTGTTTATATACTCAATTCACAGGAAAAAAAGAACAAGATAGTAGGAAAATGCCTACATTATCAGTGCCACGGAAGACAGATCACCCACTTATGGGAATTCAGAGTAAAAAGAATTTTATAAATGCAAATGCTGTTGCTGCTATCATGGGGTTGGCTAAAAAGCCTCAACCTGTTTATGTTGATAGAAGACAGGGAGACAAACACCTGCTTGAAACTTCAGGACTTGTTCCAAAATATGTTAAAAAAAAGGTAAGCTGTATTAAATTACAGTGGAAATATCATTAGCAATGCCTATTTTTCAGTTCACTACTGTATTCTGCTGTGAAATGTTTATGATTCGTTTTGATACACTTAGGTACTGTTTGCATTAGAACATGCGAAATTTATCAAGGAGAAATCATTAGCACTACAGTTGTGCCTTGCCTTTGCTCTATATTCACTTGCTTATATTGTCAGCAAAAATTTGGCTAAATGATGCTGCTAAAGCAAAAGCAGATGTATTTTATTAGGAGCCCAGGCAGTATCTAATGGAGAGACAAAGAGCTGGACTTGGTTCCTTCTGCTCACTCAGCAGTCCTACTAGTCAATAGCTAGCCCACCTCTAATGACCATGTGAGGCACTGGGCACCCACTCACCTCGCATCTCAGAGTAAAAGAAGAAAGAATTTTCCACCAGCTGGAACCAACTTATGGCTAAGTGATCTATTCACTTGGCAGCCTTCCTCATCCTTAGCATTTGGACTGATATTTCCAAAATTGAAACCCTACAGGTGGTACAAGATGTGTGGTTAGAGCACTATAGTTACTAGTTAGTTACTAGTTAGTAGTTTTGATTCTCTTCTATGGCATACAATGTTTTAGCAGAAATCAGGATGTAGAAAAACCTTTCAAAGAATATTTCTAAGGAACATGTATTTCCAAAGGTAGAATTTGACACCATGTACAAATGTAAAATAATTTGCTGTCATTAACAGATTTCAAGTTCCTCACTCTGATGGTAATCAGTTCTTATAAAAAGGTGTTTTGGTTTCTGGCTTCTCTTGTCTTTTGAGGCTTTGGAGGAAAATTCTTCATGCTTTTTGATGAGACTACAGGGACAATCATGTTTGATACTTCTGCGAACACAGTAATTTAAGATTTTATTGCTCTGTGGCAAAAAATTTCATTTCAAACTATTTTTGTAAATGCAATATACTATGTGTACAGGAATGTCTTTGATTTCTTTTTGAAAGCATATATAAACTTTTTCCTTGCCCTTGCAGGATTATGGTATTATACCAAAATATGTAACACAGAGAGATGAAGAAATTAAGAGAGCTCAGAAAGAACATGAGGCCTATATCTTGGAGTCTCTCAAAAAAAGAGCCATGAAACGGTTGTCTGATGAAGAAAGGAACAGTGTTCTGCAGGTGCATGTTTTGTTTTAGTGTATGTGGTAACATGCAAAAGATTAGTAGGGTAGTGTAAGTCCGTATAAATAGTGCACCAGATTTTTAAGCAAGGCAAATGGGCTTGCTGTGTTTTCACTAGGTGGAGCTATAGAACAGTTATGAATTTAGCTGAAGGGAGCTGGTGTATCTGCTGTTATAAATTGGCTTTATACAAGTACTTCAATTTTATTAGATTCATATCCTCTCCACCCACTTGGAATTTCAGTGAAGCTTCGAGGGGATGCAGAGAATCACCTGTATGGATCCAGAGACATTTCTGACTCTCTACTTGTGAATTATAGAAAAACCCAAATTGCATCTTGTTTTTTTCTGATACATAACACCAGCACATTTATTGGTAGTTTCTGTCTTCACGTCATGACTTCACTGGCTAAAGCATAAGGTCATGCTGTGGCATGTGGCAGATATGGCAAAAATAGAAAATAGAATGCAATTGTAATATATTTGTAGAATTATGACTAAAAAATATATTTTGCCAAGCTGTTTTGTATAGTCTTCCATACAGTATGTATGAAACAAGTTTTTGCAAAGAGCAATAATAGCATAAGAGAAGTATAGAGGTAAAGAAACGTTTTAAAAGTATATTCAGGAAAAAAATAGCTGAGATTTGAAACAAAGTGCACTACTGATCTGTGAGCAGAGATCAGGCTGCCTGTCTGAGGTGTCAGAAACTGATGGGAAAAGAGACCTTGCATCAACTGTGTAAGACTAAGACTGTATGAGGAGATGAGAAGATAGGCACTGTTTCTCAATTTAAACCACAGATATTCATATAGTCAAATACTTAACTTTTGATACTAACTGTATATTGTAGTTAAACGGTACAAATACAGTGTTTTATTAAAAGAGACTTGCACTGATATAACTTATGTATTTATCAACACCTTTTTATGTGATTTAGTTCTTGAACTGCAGTTTCTCATGACCGCTTTTTAGCTAAGTTTTCTATGAAAATAGTGAAGTCTATTTGTCAGCCCGTCCCTTAGTAACTGTTGATCTTGGCAACCATTTGCAGCAAATCAGCAGATAGGTGGACATCTCCAAGATACTAAATTCCCACAAAAGGCGAGCAGAATATCTAGAGACAAAGCAGTGTTTAACTCACTTGCAAAGATTAACCGGTTAATCAGCAAGAGTATAGATCCGAAATAGCCAGCATGATGATGTGTCTCGCTTATGGAGAAAGCAATAGAACCTAGGAAGGAGTATAGAAGAGAGGTGAGGGTATTGCAGTGGCAGCAATATAAGGAACATAACAGCAAGGGTGAAGATGAAGATATTACTGTGATGCGGAAGGCAGGGGAGAAGCTGATGGTTCCTCAAGTTGACTGTGCAACTAAAATATACGTGAAACAAGGCACACCAGTTCAACTGCTCACAGTTCTGCATGTTGTTCAATAAAATTTTGTTTTACATTTTTCAAATACAAGAGTGAGAAGAAAGCTCATATTTGTTAGTTAAAAAATTTTTAGATCATTTTTATTAACTCAGTATCTTCTTTTAAATTTTTTAAAATGTTTTCTCGTTCATGGGCTAGATTATTTATACGGTTATAAAGTCAGGAGGAATTAGTGTCCCCAGGGTATGTGGCTTCTACCCAGTGCTCAGATGTAGACATATGGGAATTCCTGTCTTTTAAAATAATTGACTGTGCTAGTGCACACATGTGCACTATCTGATTTGAAAGAATACGTGGCAATAAATGTCTGAGAGCAAAATCAAGCCCTGTGAACTTACAAAAATAAACAGAAATCATTTGTGCCAACATTTTTTGAAATATCTCTCAATTATGCTTATTTTGGTTGTGATTTTATGAGAATAAAAGAGAATGTTGATAAATGCAGTACATATTTCTCACTGATCCAGCATGTATTAGAATTCCTTATATAGAGTTAGATATTCAGCTTGTAATCTAGCCTGTAGCAATAACAGTCAACTTATTACATTGCTGTTGGAGCAGCTGTGAGGGAGCTTTTGACCGAAGGAGTCATGATCTACTTTTGATCTCTCCATTCTGCAGGGATAGAATAAATTGTGATGAGTAGATGTTCTAATACGTTTTCAAATTCTCTTTGAAAAATTATCCAAAAAAGTAATGAATGACTCTTCTATGGAAGTTTCAGAAGTACTGTTATTTGTTTTCATGACTATGTATTTGTAAAGTGTACCTTATGCCTGGTATACTAGGAGCGTTATTTAAGTACTTTACAGCCTTTGATTGCAAAGACAAGTAGCATTACAAGACAGTAAATAAATAGGCTTTTATGTTGCTCTTAGATTCACATATTGAGGTAGGGTTTTTTAATTTATTTAGATGGTTGCATGGGAAGATTGTGGGAATAACCATTAAAGTAAAAATACTTTGTCGAGTTTGAATATGAATACACAAAGCACGAACTGCTATGCAACAAGTACTCTGCTTTGAATCCGGAAAATATTAGTTCATATTAAAATGCATGTTTTGCTTAGTCAGCATTTGCAGGGTGCAGTCTTTTTTTTGGTAAACTAATTCATGTAATAGAATAAATCAGGCAAGTTTTTAGGCGTAAGAGCTCTTCTTGAGTTCTGAAATAGAAGCAACAATCTCCAAAGCTCCACACATATTAAGAATAATTCTTTTAAGTTTAGCTTCAGTATGCTAGTCAGTATTTTGGGAGAGAAGGTGGTTAGTAATAGAGGAGAAGGGCATGTTAGTATAGGGTAGTACAATGATTATCCTAAAGAAAGAGAGAATGGTAATTCACCTGTTCAACAGATTGAGGGGGAAAGGAAATCATAATATGTCATAAAGTCGTTGTATTGGATCCATTTTTCATTATAAAGGAGAGTTAAGAACTTGAGTTTCCAGGATAATGATTTCAGGTCTTCATTTTTGAAGATATTTTGTGATCTCCCCTGGAGAAATAACTGAAAGCCAAAAGAATGAAATAGTGGTTTCGGAAAAATGTTCTCCTACTGATGACTAGGTGTTTCTATTATTTGCTGATTGCTGTATAAGTTCTTTTTGGCAAGTGTCATTATTAAGTACACCCGCGTAGTTTTCTCGAGGACATTTGGTGCACTGAGTAAACTATATTCCATTTTGATATTGGCATGTATAGGATTTGTAATTTTCATGATTCTCTTGAGAGAAAGTGAGGAGCATTTTGTTGCACTAATTGTGAGGATTTAAGGGCAAATTTTGGTGTTCTACCACAGTCTGGTTCCATTCAGCATATGTTGGTCAATGGACGTTTGCCTCTGATGCTAAGCTAACAGGGTTATGAGTATCTTTCAGATGATTGCTTGTTTTGTTGAGGCAGGATTTTAGTCTTGGGCTTTTATATATGGAAGGTACAGTTTGCTTTATCTAGTAAGCTATTTCTTTGTGTTTCCATTTCTATCAAATGGAGAGATGACATTGAAATCATTGGTGATGATATTGAAATCATTGGTGATAGAGGTCAATGAAGGCTAGGTTTTTACTCGCAGTTATAAAGAAGTTGCCTGTAGATGTTAGTTGGAATGAGAATACAGTTATAAAGGATTTCTTCAAAGTAGCTCATAAAAGTTAAAATATTGTGGGATCAGTTTGGTGCCAGTGGTGTAAGGAAAGTCAAAATTATTGAAAATGAAGGTGTTGGTTAGATGAACTGAGTGAGACTGGCAGTGGATTTGGGCTGGAGTGTCAAGTATTGGTATTCTTGTAGATACTGAAAATAGTCTGTGACACCACTGCGTGTGATGTGTGGTGATATCTGTGATACCCAGATTGCTGTTTATGGGGAAGTGGTTTCTGTAATGAAGTTTGTAAAAGAACTCTGTTGCTTTTTGGAGAAAAGCAGGTCTTTGAGTGTTATGAGTTTTGAGGCGGGTTTTATGACTTCTCAGTGAGCAGACTAGAATAAGATACAGTGGAGCAGTCAGAGTTGCCTCCTTGCAGGTCTTTGACAGCATAGACAAAGTCTCTTTTATAGAACAAAGAAGAGTTACTCTTTATTTACCTTAGGCAGTTTTTATTGAAGATATTGAAGAGTTGAGATGCAGTGTAGAGTCTTCCTTGAGTTCCTGGTAAGCTGTAGAGTTGACTCTTAGTCATGTTAGTATACTTTTCTCAGTTTAGCATTTTTGTAGCTCCTACTTTATTGTCTAGTTTAGGATGCCTCTTAAAAGATCATGTAGATTTTTCTCTCCAAGGCACAGCGTTCTCTGAAGATCATCCTTTATTTTTCGTAAAAATGAGCCAAGATTATTTCCATTGGAACTACCTTATCTTTTAAGTATTTAATTAATTTGATCCAATTAGTTAGGATGATTAAGGATTTTCCATATGTTTATCTATTATTTTAACATTGCAATGACAAAGTCAATATTTAAAAAAATCTAAGGCACTTGTATGTATATTATTCTTAATGAAGTAAGTTTCTCTCATATATTTCCTTGTCATGTAATGGCTCTAGGGTCTCAAAAAGAACTGGGAGGAGGTGCATCATGAGTTTCAGGGTCTTTCTGTAGATATAGACACCATACCGAAGAAGATGCATAAAGAAAAGCTGGAATCACAGATGAAACAACTGGAGCATGACATAGATGTCATCGAGAAGCACAAAGTTATCTACATTGCAAATGAGTAAGAACTGTTAAGTAAGTCCTTACTATGAGTAGGGACTGTTTTTCAAATATTGCCTCTTTCTTCCTTTTCTCTTTCTCTACCACTGCCTTTCAGAAACAAAAAACAAAAAATATAAATGCTTAGAAGAAATTGAAACAAATCCAACCATTCAGAATAAGACAATATTCAGCTAATATAAGCATGTAGTTTCTTAGGAAAGTTGCTACACATAGCTAATTCTCGTCTATACAATTCAAAAAACTGTTTTGAATAAAATTCCTAATTAACTTTCAACATAGAAGCAATTTGTACTATTTGTAATTTTTACTAACTAGTAAGATTTCTATAAACGTCATATGAAAGGCATAAAAAATAGTTTCTTATGTTTGGAGCACTTCTTCCATTTAACAGCCAAAACTAAGTGAACTGATGGGCTACTGAAGAAAACTTGGTAAAAAATAGCTTCAGGGTGGGATTCCTTCTCGTCTAGTTATTAAAGAGCTGAAGAGCTAAAGAGTTTAAACAATTCTATTTCTAAACAGTTTGATTTCTACCTAACATTTTCTACATTCATTGTTTGTTATCAAAATCATTTTTTACAGCAGAAGCCCATAACAACATAAGCTTTCTGCAGTGTAGTTACCACAGGTAGCATGCTATGTATGTGTATGTATGAATAATGCAATAATGCTGTGCTAAGTTTACAACTAAAGTGGGAAAATATATATGGATTGCTATTGTACATATAATGTTAGATCAAAAGCAATATACTAATGAGTCATGATCTGGGAAGACGTTATATTGGCATACTGTACTGATTGGCATACTGTACTGCAATTATTTGAATAAAAACTGTTTCTTTTCCTTCTGCTCCATCTTTGCTTCGGAACACATCTCTTTCTGTATTATATCAATCATTTAGACCAGCAGCTGTTGTGACATCATAATACTTGACGTCAGCAGAGGATGAAATCATGAATTTCAAACAAACTGTTAAGAGCCAAATTTTCACGTACATTAAGTTTCTTTCATAAATCTGTCAGGGAAGGGCTTTGAAGACTTTGCAGTCGTTCTAGGCTGTATTTCTTGTGTGTCTTAAGCTTGTCTAAGACATGCACTAGGAAAGCCTGGGTGAGCAGGAAAGTATATTTTGTTTTTTGTCAAGCAATAATGGTTATTTTCAAAAGATATAAGATACACTGGAGGAAAAAAGTGGCTTCATAAAATATAAATTTCATTTGCTATTTACTCAGAAGAATGACTTATAGTGTATACTTTAACAAAATCCCACCAATCATAAGGATTGAATAACATGCTAAATTACCTGCAGATGAAGTACAAGATGCCTTTCCTGAGAAACACAGTATAATCAATCATGGGTGCTTCTTGTGGCTTACAGAAAAAGAAAACAGCTTTCAACTTTAAAATATAATGCATTCCCACCACCTCACTCTCAGCTGTTAGTTACTCAAAGACCATTTGACTGAGTAAGACTGAGGATGTGGATTTGGTTCTTCTATTTATCAGCAGTGCTGAATTTATGGAAATGCAAATTAGGAAATTGCCTACCCCAGAAACTTGCAAACATGAAACATTTGCCATTCACCAGTAATAGCTACTCCTTGTTAAATTTGTCAGCATGAAACAGGGAGGGATACAAAAAGTACTGCTGTCTAGCATGAGAGAGAGACTAAAGCCAGTGCACTTGTTCAGTGCAATGAGCTGTCACTAGTATCTTTCAACAGCACTATGGTTTTTTTGCATAACCTCTTATAGCACTTTGCAGATAGCTTTGCTGCCACGCAGTATGTTCTCCTCTTGGTACATGTGAAAAGCTCTGCTATCCTGTGGGTAGGGTATAACTCTTCCATTTATTTTGATGCATATTTTATGACAGAATTATCAACACTTCTGATTATGGAAAATATATAATGAAAATCGTTGAAAGTACAGACACAAGAATAACATTTTTATCCTTTAACTCCCTCTGGGAAGTCTGACAAAATAAATTAACAGAATCCAAAGAATGTAATGTTTAGGAGGTGCCAATAGTTGAAGATGTAGAATTCCTGAATCAACTAACATGTACTGTCAGTATAACTAAAGCAAAAAGTTGAATAGACTCAATTGTTGTGATAAAATTGTTCCTTTGTAAAGGATATGAAATCATAACAGAAGCAAGTCTCAAATTGCTTTTATAGGACAGTCTTCAGATCTGTAGGTCTTCCCTGTAGTAATCTGTTCCTCTGCCTGGAACTCTCCTAGAGTCAAATCAGACTGAGACCCAGGATGCAGACCTGAGAGCAGAACTTTTGCTCTAGTATTTTCAAACAAAATGAAATGATAACAGTTTAAAAGAAAAAAATTAACTGTCTTCTTGGTTTTAACAAAATAAGATCTCAGAATTTTCTTAACACCTTAATTTAATATTAAAAAGCATCCTATAACTTTGATTTTATTAACAGATCAGTTAAGTATTGGAAATTTCCAACCTCCCCCATCTTTACCACAGTATTTTAATTGTAGTTAATAGCAAGCTGCTGGAGGTTTTACTGACATTTTGAAATACATTCTGAACACTTGCTGAGATGACTTCTGGAATGATGTAAAGTTGTGTAACTAAGGCAAATATCTCAAGTATGTAATTCAAACCTAGTGATGCCAGTGTGAACCCTTCTACTGACTGTAATTAGCTGATAGAAAAAAATATATTGATAGGAGAGTAAAAAAACACTTAACATTGATCAGTTGCTTTCCTGCAGACACCTGCACTTAGAATAGATGAAAATTTTTTATTTTTCTACACTTGGCCTATTCAAATTATAATTTCCAGGTGTTTCACCTTCACGGAAAGTTAGTTATAACAGTTCTAGCTGCAATACAATTTAGTCCAGAAAATCAATATATTCTTGCAAATATGTTACATTTCATAAAGTGTCATTTAAACAGAACTGTGTATTGCATGCTAACAGTAAAACAGAATGAAGTCACACAGGGTGTGGACTTGCAACTTTCTACAGTAAGGTTTGAACTGTATTCTGCAAAACCAGTATTCATTGTGGGAGCTCTGACCACAGACTAAAAGTAGTATTACTAGTTCAAACATTCTCTAAATTCACTAGTCATTTACTAATAATCAATGAAATAACAAAAGAAAATCATCAAAATACTGCTAGTACTTTATAATCATTTTCTCAAACTGATACAGTTAAATGGTCATTATTAAGTTGGATAGCAATCATAAAACACAGACTAAATTGGGCATGAACATTTTATTGGTCAGTAGGAGTTATGTTGCCACAAGCTGAAACCATTTCCTGTTGTAAGCTGTGCATGACAAAACTGTGTACCTATTTTTTAAAAATAGCAATGTGAAATGATAAATATCCGACTGGCTATTCTTCAGAATGGAACTATTTATATTCAGGAAGTAAGGAATCAGATACGGCATCATCACAAATACAGGGAGTTCCTGGTTGTATGGTTCTGATTAGAGCAGCCTAGAGCAGACTCAGATCTCATAGAAGCATATGGCCTCCGCATGGCTTGTCTCAAAGCCCTGTGGTTTCTTGGGATGCACGTGCACTCTTGGGGACTAAGTCTGAGGATAGTTCCTCATCACCTTCCGTGCAGAGGGGCAACCTCACTCCCCTAATGAAATACGAAGGTGGAAACGTTATGGGAGAACGTTCTTACAGATTTAATTTTCATTAGTCCCTATATGGGGGTTTTACAGGAGGACGTGTTCTGGCCCTTTGAATATTTTTATAAAAAATTGGCATCATCAGCTGCTGTTGTGATCGATCGCTCTGCCACAAAGCTAAAGTCTACTCCTTTCACTGGCGTATGTTTCAGGGAAAACAATAGATCTAACAGTTTCAGTGATAATGAAGGCAGACATCTTTCAGATAAGAAAACTGCACATATATGCAGATTAATGGGAGTCCTAGATAAAAAAACAAACCAAAGTCAGTGCTTTAATCCTCTCCTTTATGATGCTTATAATATTAATAATATAATTAGAGGAGAGACAGGTGGCAAAACCTATTATTAAAATAGGTTGCTTGACGTTTCCCATGGTCAGGGAAGCCTGCTGCTGAGCCCTGCAGCTGCTTGTGATTGTTCAGCTTGGTAACTAGAGGTATATCAATCCTGACCAGGCTTGGGAGTGGATATCTGAGGTGGTCATGAGGGGTATACTTGACTATTGAATTTCTGTATTTTTTCATTCTGCCTTGATCTTGCTCCAGCTCTTTTTTGTTATGTAATGTTTTGTAAACAAAAGGGTGGGTAAATTCAGTGGTTCAATTCTCCAGCAGTGGCACAGTAGGAGTACAGAGTAAGTTGAGTTTCTTGTCTGTGTTTGAAGGGTGTACAGGGTAAGCATGACTGCCATCTCACCAAGTTATTAAAAAAAAAAAAAACTCAAAACTTGTTCTTTTTCTTATTATTCTAGACTGTACCTGCAACATATTGTTGCTAATAAGCAACCATAGCGAAATAGTAGATTACATTCATGTCAGCTGTTCTTGATATTGCTGTGAGGATGAAATTCCATTTGATCTCTCAATACTAGCCTATGTTGTTAATTCATTATTGCATGCTTTTCATCACATTGACTCCACAGCGTAGAGGAGTTCACACAAACTTTTGAACGCTGGAGTAACTTATGTTCAAATCCTCCCTTAAATGTTCGTTTGCATGCAGGAAATTGGTCAAGAGCTGAGCAGCAGACCTATGCAGTTTACTTGAAATTTCCCTGGTGTTCTGTAGCCATTTGCTGTTTCTTGTTTTATGCTTAAATTGTAAGTTATCTATCTAACTGTGGATCTTCTTTTTCTCTTTGCATAGTGGCTAGCATATGATGGAATTTTTGTTCATAAGTAGAGCTCCTAGGTGCTCAAAGTAACAATAAATATGATCATCTGGGCATGAATCAATACTATGCCATAAAGGGGATGAATTGAAGTTGTGTAGTAAACGGATCTGTTTTTCAAGAACCCTGATCTCATTTGCTTTAGCAGTTGAAAAATAGATAAAGAATTATAAGAAAAGAAATGAGATTTAAGGCACTTAACTAATTCCCTGGAGCAATAAGATTTATTCATGTCTTTGTCACAGAATTTCTTTGAAATGCAGTAGTAAATGACTTCTATCTGGCTTTTTACTGTTAATCATAAATTCATAAATACTGCAAATCTCATTTCTGGGGTTCCTGACTTCTGCGTTTTGAGCTCATATGTGTTAAGTACAGGGTATGCATGCCTGAAGTTAGAACAAGCTATGCTTTGAGCATAGAAAGCACTGTATAATAGTTTGAAAACTATTATCTCAAATGGTACCTCAAAATTGATGAAGTTATTGTTTAATTTAATCTTGCTAGGGGTGATATGGAAAATTCAGATTGCTTTCTAATTCACAGAACTGTTGTAGAGATAAACTAGTACCCCTAGAACTGTTCCATTATTACTTTAAGGGCCATATTAAAGCTCAGGAACCAACATAATAACTCTCTCTTCAGAGGAAAAAAGATTTTGTGCAGTACTTAGGGCCACATGTTCAAGGAAGAATAAACAACCACATTTTGATATTTGTTCAGAGGGAATGGTCTGTTTTGTACACAGAATGATAAAATTAGCAAATGGTCCAAATCCAGCATTCCAGTGCTCTTAGGGAGTGGGCCTTTCTGTGCAGCAATAGAGTTCAGCAGCTGGCCAGCCATGAACATTTAACATGCCTACCCTACAGGAGAACTTGCTGGACTAGATTCTGCTTTTCAATACACTTTTTTTTTACTGCACTGTTTATTCAAGGCAAGCTGTGAAGTATACAAAATTGCATCAAAGAAGACTGAGCTATTTTGGCAATGAAAAAT